GGGAGGCATGCGGTGGCGGATAGAAAGCCCTAATCCTGATGACTCTCGACCTAAAGGCCGACGTGATGACCTTGGGGAGAAAGGCCGGATTGGGCCACAATTCCACCATGCCGTCGCCCTCTCCAAACGACAGGCAAGACGCATGGACAGAGAGCGCACACAAGTCGCCCGCCCTCTTAGCAAACGCCAACGCCAGCAAGAGCGCCGCCGGTTCAAAAGGCGGACCCGACAGCCCCCTAAGGACCACCCTGAGGTCCCAAACCGGGGGTGTTCTCTGGAGCGGGGGCCTCCTTCTGCGCGCCCCCCGCAGAAAACGTTTAACCAACGGATGAGAGCGGGCTGTGAACCCCCCGAATCCGTCGTGACCCGAGGTAATGGCTGCCGCGAACACCGCCAAGGTGGTGACAGCCCTCCCTTTGTCAAAAAGCTCCTGTAGGAATCCGAGGACCCCCTCCAGCGGGCAACGCCTGGGATCCCAGGAACGAGAACCGCACCAGTCGCTGAAGAGCTTCCACTTCGTGGCGTAGGCCCTCACAGTGGACGGCGCCCTCGCCCCCTGAATGGTCTCCACCACCACAGGGGGAAGACCCAGGTCTACGAGGTTCCGCCTCTCAGCCTCCAAATCCAGAGCCTGCGGCCGATTATCGGGCGTGAAAACAGGGCTCCCCCCCCTGGACTAGAGCCCCCGGCTCGTCCGGGAGGGCCCAGGGCTCCATCACCGCCATGCCCCTCAGGAAGGGGAACCACCGGGCATGCGGACTGTCCGGAGCCACCAGGATCACCGACCTCCTCTTCGATCCTCCGCAGCAGGACCGGCAGGAGACGCACTGGTGGGAAAGCGTACAGCAGGCCCTCTGGCCAGGGGTAATGAGCCAGAGCGTCCACGCCTAGGGGCGGCTCGTCCGCGGCCGTTAAGGCGAGCCAGGACGGGCACTGTGCGTTTTCTGCACTGGCGAAAAGGTCGACCACTGGACGGCCGAACCTCCGCCAGATCTCCGCAGCTACCCGTGGGGCCAGGCCCCACTCGTCCTGGAGTGGGCCCCCCCTGGACATCCTGTCGGCCCCCATGTTCCGAACCCCCGGGACGTGGCGCGCCCTGAGAGACAGGAGGTGAAGCGCCGCCCAAGCAGCGTCACCGTCGCCATGCGATGGAGAGCGGGGGACCTGGTGCCCCCCTGCCTGTTCAGATAGGAGACCACTGTGGTGTTGTCTGAGCGCACCATCACGTGTCTCCCCTGCAGCTGAGGAGCAAAGTGCAGCAGTACCCTGTGCACTGCCTCCATCTCCAGCAGGTTGATGTGACGGGCTGAGTCCGACCAGCAGCCTCCTACAGAGCTCTGGCCGAGGACCCCGCCCCATCCTTCGAGTGACGCGTCCGTGAACACCTCCACGTGAGACACGGCGCAGGTCAGAGTCACTCCGTCCCGCAATAGACCCGGAGTGAGCCAGAACCTGATGTCCGATGCTGCCACTTGGGGAACCCAGATCAGCCTCCCCCCGTCCCGGGAGGGGTGAAGCCTGAGGCGTGAGAACCACCTCTGAAAATTCCTCATGTGGAGAAGGCCTAGCCGCACCACAGCATGAGCCGCCGCCATCATTCCCAGCAGGGACCTGAGGCGCCGAGCGGGGACTCTGGGGCCCGCCAGAACCTCCCTGGCCAGAGGGGTAATGTTAATCCGTCTGTCCACGGACAATGCAGCACGGAATGTCACAGAGTCTAGCTGCAGGCCGAGATAAATCATGCGCTGAGCGGGCTGCAGCTTGCTTTTCTCCCTGTTTACCACAAAGCCCAGACGCTGTATGTGGGACAGGACCCAGTGCGTATGACTCACGGCCACTTCCCTGGATGAGGCCAGAATTAACCAGTCGTCTATGTAGGTTAAAATTCTTACCCCTGCGCGTCTGAGCGGCTCCAGTGTGCTGCCTCCACGCACTTGGAAAAAGTGCGAGGCACGAGTGCGTAGCCGAAGGGGAGACGACAGTACTCGTAATTCCCCTCTCCCACTGCGAAGCGCAGAAACCTCCTGTGTTCCGGCACTATCGGCACGTGGAAGTAAGCGTCTGTCAGGTCTATGGAGGACATCCAATCTCCCTGCCTGACACACTCGAGGAGCTGCTTTGTGGACAGCATCCGAAACTGCCGTTTGGAAATGCACTCGTTCAAAACGCGCAGATCCAAAATGGGACGCACCCCGCCTGACTTCTTTGACACTAAGAAGTAAGGGGAGTACAGCCCCCTGGTGGCGTCCTGCGGGTCTACCTCCACTGCTGCGCCTCGACTCAGCAGAGAGGAGACCTCGGCTTGTAGTGCCTCTAATGATCCCCGTACCTGAGAGCGTGCTGCCCGTACGCCTCGGAATGGTGGTGGCTTTCGGGAGAATTGCAGTGCGTAACCCCTGCGCAATGTTTTCTCCAGCCATAGATCTGTCAGCAAACCTTGCTGGAACACGAGACGTCACGGCCCCGCCCTCTCCTGGTGTTCCTCGCAGGGAGGGGGGGTGGACGAAAGGGCCGGGGGGCCCCCTGCGTCACACCGTGAGCGCCGGGGGCGGTCACGTGTCCTGCAGGCCCGACGTCATAAGTACGGGACTGCTCATCCCACGTGACTCGGCTGCTGTGCCCCCCCCTGGCTCTTGCCTCATGGAGGGGGGGGGGCGAGCCCCTGGAGTGGGAGACCCCGTGTTAGCCTTGTAGCTCAGAGATGCTAACACGCGTTCGGCCGAAGCACACACACCACTACTCACCAGATCCCTCCGCCTGACCTCTCTCTGGGAGGGCATAGCATGAACCAGAGAACCGGAGCTCGTAGCTCGCGTAGCGCACTGCAAACCCTGCTCTGGGGGCTGCAGGCCTAGCGAAGCAACGTTATGTGCTCGAGAAGTAACACAATCAGAATTCACAAGATTATTTGACATGTTACATACCCCCAAATGAGACTCAGAAACGAGTAATGATGAAATGCCGGTCGGCCTTTATTGAAGAAAAACTTTCCACCCCGACCTCCTCTGCCATAGGGAGGTCGGCGGTGGGTGCGTTGCTCCCGCGAGCCACCCGTGGGTCTGTCTGGACCCGGGGGCCTCATCGAGGGGGGACGATGGACAACAGAGCGCGGATACGGGTCAGGATGCCTCCCGGGCGAACGCTCTCTGCCTCTGTCCCGGGTCCGTGATGGTTGGTGGGCCTCGCGCCTCGGTGCTAGGTGCGGGGCTAGCCTAGCCGAGTCGTTGGCTGCAGACTCCAGTCTCGCCACCAGGGCCTGCATGTCTCAGACCTGCGTGTCTCAGACCTGCCCATCTCTCAGACGAGAGATGGGCAGGTCCAGCAGCTGCCTCTTCTCCGCCTCCCTGATATTAGCCAGCCCAAGCCAAAGGTGCCTGGCCCCGACTTGGGCTGCAGCCATGGAGCGGCCACCGTCCACGGCTAGCGTCTGGCACATGCGCAGAATCGCCGCCGAGGTGGTCCTCGCCTGTGACAGGAGGTCTCCACTGAGCGCCTGGCCAGAGGAGAGCGACCTATTCAGGGCCCCCGTGATGAATGCCATGTTGTTAGCCAATGCGAGGACCTGTGCCGCATTGGCATAACATCTATCCAGCATCGCCAAGACATCCTGTCCCGCTCGGAGGGAAGGAGAGGTCTGGTGCCGGGCCACACGGATGCGGAGGGCTGCAGGGCCATGCGGACTGAATCCTCGGTGTCCGGGCCACCATCCACGGCTAGCGTCTGGCACATGCGCAGGGTCGCCGCCGAGGTGGTCCTCGCCTGTGACAGCAGGTCTCCACTGAGCGCCTGGCCAGAGGAGAGCGACCTATCCAGGGCCCCCGTGATGAATGCCATGTTGTTAGCCAATGCGACGACCTGTGCCGCATTGGCATAACATCTATCCAGCATCGGCAAGACATCCTGTCCCGCTCGGAGGGAAGGAGAGGTCTGGTGCCGGGCCACACGGATGCGGAGGGCTGCAGGGCCATGCGGACTGAATCCTCGATCACCGGTCCAAGACCAGTCCTGCACGCTGCAGTACATGTCGTGCCCCAGAGCAGGCCTCTTGGCTGCTAGGGGCTTTGGCCACTCACGTGTCGCGTAATGGACGAACGGGTCCATCCGCGGGCACAACGTGGGTTGTATGCTCCTCCTCCCTCGAGTGGTGGCGCCCACAGAGGTGAAGTCCTCCACCGTCTGGATCCAGCGATGACGTCCGACGCCGGAGGGCGAAGGGAACTCGGACGAACAAGGAAGACATCTCAGAATGAAGTAAGTACTGTGGTAGATCTCAAACGGCGCCAGAGTGAAAGAGGGGGTGCGGCTGTGTGCAGGGGCCTTTATAGAGGAGAGTGGCTGGTGATTGGAGCAAATTATTTTGATCTCTCTGGCGTGTGACCTGGGGGTCACGAGTGATATCCCACTAGCGAAGTCCTAAGGGACGTAGCACCATGACGTAGAACTACTCTAGCCTCTTAACACCCGCCTCATTTTGGCTTGTGCAGAAAAGTTGGGCATACCCAAATGTCTTTGCTTATTTAAAAACACATCTTACATCTCACATGCTTGTGTGATGCATCATTTTAAAGCTAGAGCCTCCTAGTAAAAAAACAATAAAATAATGTTTGTCATTCCTATTTCCCTCTGCATCCTTTGAAGTTTGGGAAAAAAAACCCAATTTTTTTTAGCCTCGCCTAACATTTTCAATTTCTAAAGGCCCTAAAAAAGGCATACTTCATTTTAAGTTCACAATATTCAAACCCTGTGGTCATTGTGTTGTTGACAACAACTGTCTAAAGTTTCAGACTTCTAAGTTTTATAGTTTTTATGCAGTTTCTCCTTTTCATCAAGTAGTGCACAAGTCACAGTGCTCCTGCAGACTCCCTTTTTTATCATAGTCTATACATCCCCAGACTTACGCCCAGGTGTCAGACTAAATAGCTGGTAACGCCCCTCTGTCCCGGGACACTCATATTGGACGTCACAGCCCATAGGATAGGTTTAAAAGGGGGGGAGGAGGAATGTACAGGAGGAGAAGCCGGAGTAGAACTTGGGACATATGCAGAGTAAACGCCGGTTTGAGACGGATCATCGACCTGGGACTCGGGAGCAGGAGTGGCCAGACGCGGACCCCTGGACAAGCCAGAAAGACCCTGTACAACGCCTGCACAGCGATAAGTACAGGGACGTGTCCCTCACTCAGCAATCTACACTATATGCGTGTTTTAGTCTGAGGGCTGGAACTCACTGGCACCGCTTGTGATCCGTAGCTGGGATTGCGTGCGGGGCAGTCTACAGCGGGGCAGTCTACAGCTCTACAGCGGGCCAGTCTACAGCGGGGCAGTCTACAGCGAGGCAGAGGGAGACCGGGAAAAGACCCAAATACAACGCTGCAACCACTACGTGTGAAAGGGACGTATGATAACTGCACAGCGGCTGCGTGTGCGCGTGTCTGGTCTTGTCATGGTCTAAGGCCAGGTCTCTGTCTTACAGCATCCCACGCATCCCGACACCTCACCCACCTGCGCGGATTTGGACAGCGGGCCCGGACCGGAGGATGTTTATTTGACAACGCCCTGCTGTGTTAAGTAACAGGGACGTTCCCTAGTTTCTCCTTGCTGTGCGTGTGTGATTACCTGTTGTGTCGTGTCTGAGGACCCGGTCTGTGTGTCTACAGCTCCAATCAGTGGTGTGGCAGCGGTGATCGGAGGTGGTGCGGGTCCAGCTGGGGACTAGACTCGGACAGTGGGCTGTGGCAACCTGGGGGCCGCGCTACGTCGCAGGGCACTCCGTGGCCGCAAGGGGGCAGCATTGGATAAGTGACTGGAGTCCCTAGACTCTGAGCTGCCCTCTAGTGAACTCTATTTTAGCTTAACGTTTTTAGTAGGTCTTAGTGTTTTCACAGTCCCATTCGCTTTTATATATTTATATTTTTAGCACATTCTATGAAGTCTTGGGTCATTTCTCAGTGGTACAATTTAAAGGTGGAAAATTCTATCCTGACACACATTCCAAATATCTTTACTGACATTTAATCATCAAAAAAACAATATTTTTTTTTTTATTATTGGTACTTATAAGTTACTAATCTATGTGTTTTTTTTTTTTTACATGTCAAAGTTATTTTTTTATGAGTGTAAATTCATTGCAGCTCCGAGAGCGTCTTTTGGCTGCCATTACGCACGATTCTACAAGGTCAAAATAAGATTCAACACCATTGTCCCACCCCTTGTTCTAAAGTTTTCCTCATTGGCTACACGGACATGTCAATCAAAAATCCAGGAAATAGATGCAAACAAGTAGGGACAACAACAAAGATCAGTGATCCATACGCAAACAGCAGCGCTAGCTGTACTCACGGGAGCTCTTGCAGACCCAAAAATTGGTCTAGCTTTTCGGGAGTAGTCTCATTTGAAAGATAAGGAACACGTGGATACCAGATGTTTGGGTAAAAAACAAAGCTAAAAGTCCGTTAAAAGTGAAAGAGCAACATCTGTGCTCTTTTTGTTTTGTTTTTTTCGCTAAAGATAAATGCACATTTTTGGATTATTTCTGCAGAATGGATTTTACTTTGGGTAATACAAGTGGATATAATTTTCCTTTGGACTGTTCCAATGAGAATGATGTATTGCAAGCTGGGAGGCGAGCTGATTTATTTGTACAGCACAAGCCCAAAGGTAAAAAACTATTTCGGAATTGATTTCTTTTGTGCCCACATTATGTGTAATATCTTTTGAAGTCTGATGTAGTTTACACTTGTATATAAATGTAGATCAGAAAATAAGCTTTAAAATGATATACAGCTTTTGGGGTTTGGTGTTCAAAATACATCTGCTATTGCCAGCAGAACATTTAAAAACATAAAAACGGCGCGCCGGTGGGTGTAACGAGGCTAGATATTACATAAATGAAGTCAACATTGATATGTGTTGCTCAAGGCTTCTCTTTGCGCGTCCTAACGCTGATACAACTCTGATATATGTAACAATCTGCTTTTGAACTGAACATATTGTTCTATGACCCAGGTCAAAGACATGATGCAGCACGTCTCCATCTATCACCGACCCGCTGCCAACAGAGCATTATGGCCTGTATCTGAATCCAGAGTTGACTATTAGTTAATGACTTACACTCATAACTATTTGGTGTTAATTCAGATTGCTTTACTAAAATATTTCTATAACACTACCAAGCTCCTTTACTGTGGAATCAGCTTCCCATTTATGTTAAAGCTGCACTAACTGACTTTGGGATTTTGAAGCCGTGGACTCTCTGGCCTCTCTCTCTCTGCTCCCCTCCCCGCACCCACGAAGCTATCGCCCCACACACACACCCACTGTTGGGACGGAGTTAGTGTCTCCCAATATGGATAATACACGAATATGGATTTGCACGTGGATGGCGTGACCATAGAACGATAGAACCGGGAAGCGCGGAGGAACGGGACTTTCTTTTGGATGGCTGTTTCGCTGTGTAAGCAGTATCTGGTGACGAAGACACACGAAGTTTCAGGTTAGCTCCTCGTCTTGTTGTGCTAACTCAGCCGTCTATGCTAACGGACCTGTAGATTTCTCACGAAAGTGGGGGCTAGTGGTGCGCTGCTATTGGTCACAATCCGCGACCCGAAACACATTCTCTTCCTTGTTTCATCAAAACTCGATCTAAAATATAATGTCACGCCAGCACAAATCTGCGCTACTTTTTCTTCAAAATGATGTATATCCCAATGCACTACATGGACATGGATAGCATTTTCGTAATGAATACAAAAATAAAGTCAGTTAGTGCAGCTTTAAGGAAGCAGATACGGTTTCCTCATTCAAGGCCAGGCTTAAAGCACTCTACTTTAATTTAGCATATAATTAGGTAATATATAATATATGGTGTATATATATATATATATATATATATATATATATATATATATATATATATATATGCTGTACTATGTTATATATTATGTTATATATTTTACAAAATATGAATTATGTTGTGTATTGTGTAATGTTATGTATATTATGTTATATATTATGCTGTATGTTATGTTATGTAGTATATATAATATATATAATATGTATGGTATATATGATATATATGATATATAATATATAATTAGGTTTGCCTGGATCGGTTTGCACACTTGGTGTGCAATCCATGAATCTTGGTGCTGTAACCTAGACTAGCCTAGCCGTGGCTGCTGCTGCTGTCTCACCTCCTTTCAGATGCGCTCTCTTTATTCAAGGCTAGGTTTAAAACAGTCCTCTTTAGTTTAGCATATGGCTAGGAAGGTAAGACTCAGGGAAGGCTAAACTCCTCAGACTGTCAGTCAAGCTGCATAGGGAGTCAGTTTGCTGGGAGAAGTATGGTAATTCGAGCACTATCCTCTCCTCCTTCCTACTTTACATGTTTGGCATTATTAGGATTTTGACTGTAGTTTGTTCATTGTTATTCACCCGTTGTCCCATTGTCTGTTTCATGGTACGATGACGGGATCTCTGAGCCTGGCCTCCTCCATCTACACCTGCAGACTGCCCTGCCCGACCCGCCTGGGAGTGCTTCAGTCCTGCGCCGGACCTGTCCACGTTCAGCGGCCACTGGTCCACGTCCTGTAGCTAGCTTAGGTCCTAGATCATTAGCCTGTCCGTCCGGAGGAGCGGATCCCTTTCTCAAATGGGTCTCCCCAAGGTTTCTCACTTTTTCCCACTGGGTTTTTGAAGAGTTTTTCCTTGTTGATGCAGGAGGGTCTTGTTGGACAGTTCGTGTCCAACAGAAAGGATTGGTGATGATCCGGGACACTTAAGCATTCTACAACATGTATGGACATTTTCTTCTGTGTGTGCTTTATATTTTTCATGTGTTTTAACTGTTGATTCTCTGACCTGTGTTGGTGATTTCAATGGTTTTGTTAAGTCCTCTGAGATGACTTCTGTTGTGACCTAAGGCTATACAAGAATAGATTGTATTGTATTGTATTGTATTGTATAAAAAGGTCAGATATAAGAAAAAATGTCTTATTATTGGACAATTTTTAGGAAATAATGCTTAAATAAATGTTTGATTAAGGATAAATTTGCTTGTTTTATGCTCTTTTTTGCAGCCTTTTTCTAGTTGTAGACTGGTTTTAAGCTGTAGACTGGTTTTAAGCAAAATTGGAAGCAAAATAATATAAGCAATACATATGTTTTGATCAAAGAAGTGAACACAAATGTGAAGGACAGGTTCACAGGGTTTATTAACAGGAATGAAGGTTGGGCTGGTAGGGTGGGCCGGAACGGGAGCGGGAGCTGGAGCAGGAGTGAAGTGGCTGTAATTGGCACAAGTTTCTGCGATCAACACAAAACATGAGATTAGACGAGGGCTTCACAAACGTAGCAAAAATCGCAAAAGGCCTGAGGTGTTGTCTCACGATGTAGACTGAGGACCTGACGGAGGACTGAGGAAATGCCCAGGCTTAAACACAGAGATGATTAGGGCCCCGTCCCAATACTCGCACTTCCACCCTCGCGCCCCTCATTTGCGCGTTCCCGATAAAGGGTGCGAGTGCGTAGGGTGTCCCAATTCTCCAGGGATGTCTTTGGCCCCGCCCCCTTTGCGCCCCTGATCCACACTTCGCCGTAGCCTGCATCTATGCGCACTCTGGCGAAGGATATTGCCCATAATTCTTTGCGATACACACCAAAACGTCGGGAAAATGCATTTAAATATACATTTTGAAATATATATGCAGTATGTGTGTAAATAAGTTTTGCTATGTTACTTGGAAAGAAGCATAAACGTCTGATGAAGAATTACGGACATTGTGTTTTAACAATTTAATAACTTTTTAAAGCAAGCGTTTATATAACATTCAATTTAAACTTTACACTTAGTACAATAATCTTAGAATGTATAAAAACTGACCAGATAACAGTTACTTACCCACATTTAACTTAAAATTATACAGCTATCTCTAATTAAAAACAACTAATATACATGTATTTTAACGTGTGTGAACCAATTCATGTTGTTTCCCAAAAGGTTAGACAAAGTTACCTTTAATTTTCATAAAGTTTAGGTCTGAAAATCTCTTGACGAGCCGATGACGTCACCTGCACTCAGTGTGCACTGTCCCAATTCTGCCTTTTTTGCACACTTGTAACCTGCGCACTCCAACCCTGGTGTGCACTTCGAACAAATGCACACTTCGTAGAGGTGTGTAGGGTGCAGTGTGGGTATTGGGACTGGGCCTAAGTGTGCAGGACAGGAACAGGGAGCAGGAACAGCCACGCCCACAGCAGCAGGAACAGGAGGGAGGGGGTGAGGGGCTCACAGTGAGCTCAATACCAAAACAATATCAGATGCTATTGTGGACTATACTCCACATTACAGTTTGGTACACAAAGATGTAACATATGTGCCCATTAAATATGATCTTGGAGACGTGCATCACGTGCATGAGGTTGGCCAATAATGTTGTATTGTGTCAGTGTGGGGTTTCTGTGGTTCCTCTGATGCAGGAGGGTCTAAGGACAGTAACTGTGGTTCTATCCATTTGAACTGATTTCTGTAGTAAAATTGAATTTCATGCAGCAAACCACTTGAAACAGCTAAAACAGGCCAGAGACATCATGAATTACATCCTGGCTCTAAACAACTGTGATTCTATGCATTTGAACTGATTCTCTTGTAAAAGTGAATTTCATGCAGCAAACCATGTTTATTTTGTAAACTGTTATTTACAATTCTGATTGTTACCTGACTATATTATGGGTTGTTCGCTTAAAGGTGGGGGAGATGTGATATACTGATAATAGCATGTGTATTATCTGTTCAGAAAGTATACCAGTGTTCACCCTTAGAGGGCGCAATCGCATTGTTGAGAGTGCCCAGTGTTGAGTTACAACTATGTTGTAACCTGTTAAAAGATGTCGGAGTAAACGTGAAAGTTTATCAAAGATGTTTCCGTCGTTATTACTGGCCACGATGCAACAGCAAACTAATCTGTCCCTTATTAGTTCCTCTTGCAATGCACCAAAGTTGCAAGTTTTAGCGATTATTCTCGATGTACTAACATTAGCCTCGATGGTTTCTGTAGCCTTTTTTTGAAGTTGTCTCTCTCCATTATGACATTTGTTTCAGGATTGCATATTTCCTTGAAATTTCTTTTCAAACACGCTGGGTCCTCTCTTGACTCTGCAGCTGTTACGTCATCGTCTGCTCCGAGTACCGCAGGTGCATATGTGAATGAATGCTCTCTATTGCCTCTGTTCACGCCAGATTGAGGAGTATGTAGGCTCTAGTTTTAGCGTTTTTATCACTTTGGGCTGCGGCTATGAATATATCATAGTCTTGCTCGAACTTACGCCAGTTTTCCGCAACATTGCCGTCAAATGTGAGAGGATCTGGTTGTCCGAATCCGTCCGACATTTTACATGGGTTTCTGCGGAGATCAGACCTTTTTCTTTACAAGCTCCAGTTGTCTTCATGGGCTGTGCAGTCTTTGTGATGAATCCCACTTCTGACACCATGTAGATTCGTGTATAAGAATCAGTCTATTGGTCGTGCATAATAAGCTTTTATTAGCAGCTGACATGAACATGTGGTCTAGACCGCAAGTAAGTCATGAACTAGTCTCCCAACTCTGACACCTACTGTTCACTCGCGGTAACTGGGGAAAGGTAAGCAGTAAGGACAATCTTATGTAACACGCCGAGTACCTAGTTTCTACTCAGCACTTTTTATGGCGTGTATTCATATACAGCTGAATCAACTGTATATGTATAACTGTATAACTTTTCAATTAAATTACAGGTTTTAATACAACTTAGAACACTGTCTACTACAGAAAGACAATCTGAAAAATTAACGCTGCTATGTGGATTTATTGTTAGAATAAACAAATACAGTACATATGTACACTATGTTGTGAATAATTTTTCCATTTAAACAACCATTTACAGAAAAATATGGCCTAATTTTGCAGTTAGTTTGGAAATGTGATTAATTACGATCAATCCATTTTTAAATCGAGTTAGAGTTTATCATTTGACAGCCCTAGTTAAAAGGTGTGTAGCATTTCAGGTCCTTTCCAGTTCTATTTTGTTCTGTATGCTTTGTTTTTCCCAACTATAAAAACTTATTATAGTATCAAAATAATCCTGGTCAAATCACTCCAAAATGTGAAAATATTTTAATGTACTTGTAGTACAAAAACAAATGGTGGATGGAAAATACAACATATGCACGAAAACAAGTGATAAAAGACAAATTACTGAAATCCAAAGTTGGCATTTCAACAGTACAATGAGCTAAGGCTTCCACAGTTTAAGCAGGCCGTCCTCACTGTAGGTACTAATAAGATTCTGATGAGGGTGGTGCGCGATCCCAATCACATCTTTTTCATGAACCTAAAATCACAAAGGGAAACTGTTAAAACATGAAAAACTATAAATATGTAGAAAGACAGTGGTGATGGAAATGGCAGATTTGAAAATGCTTACAAGTGCAGGAGGAATGCAACAAGCTACGTGTGCAGATTCAAACAAAGAAAGGAACAGTGCAAAAGAAACAACTGTACAGTTTATAAGTTATATAAGTTAGATATGCAACAGGACTAGTCCACAGTCTGATATACGCAGAGCCCAAACTTTTTTTCCTTCGAAGCACAAAGCTATCTAGTCCGAAGTGCCTTGTCATTTACAGGCTCAGCAGTTTTCATTGTACAGTCTGACAGCAGCAGGAAGGAAAGACCTACGAAACCTCTCCTTCACACAGGCGGGATGAATTAGTCAGTCACTGAAACTACTCTCAAGAGCAGAGAGAGTGTCCTGCAGGGGGTGACCAGTCATGGTGCAGCATAGATGTTAGTTTGTCCAGGACTCTCCTGTCCCCCACCTGCTGCACCAGGGAACAGCCCAGGACAGAGCTGGACTTCCTGATTACCTTGTCCAGCTTCTTCCTGTCCCTCTCTGTAATGCTGCTGCTCCAGCAGAGCATATCGTATAAGATGGCTGATGCCACCACAGAGTCATAGAAGGTCTTCAGGAGTGGCCCCTGCGCTCCAAAAGACCCGAGCCGCCTCAGCAGGTAGAGTCGGCTCTGTCCCTTCTTGAAGAGGGCGTCTGTGTTATGAGTTCAGTCCAGTTTGTGATTCAGATGAACACCCAGGTCCACTCTCTCATTGTCCCTTCCCTGGATGTTCACTGGGGCTGGCGCGGTAGCGTGACGTCTGCGGAAATCCATGACCATCTCCTTGGTCTTCCCCGCGTTGATGAGGTGGTTCCGCTGACACCAGTCCACACGTCTGTACTCTGAGTCATCGTCCCCGGAGCAGAGTTCGATGATGGCAGAGTCGTCTGAGAACTTCTCTAGGACACAACCGTCCGAGTTATGTCTGAAGTCCGCAGTGTAGAGGGTAAAGAGGAATGAGCCGAGGACTGTCCTCTGGGGGGGGGCCCCCACACTGCAGGTCAGGACCTCAGACACAAAGTCGCTGGTTCTCACAAACTGGGGTCAGTCTGTGAGGTAGTCAAGGATTCACTCGGACAGGTTGTAGTCCACTCCTGCTGTCTCCAGCTTGTCCCTGAGAAGCCGCGGCTGGATGGTGTTGAAGGCGCTGGAGAAATCAAATAAGAGGATCCGCACAGCGGAGCCGGGTTTCTCTTCGTGGGACAGCGAGCGGTGGAGGAGGGTGACAATAGCGTCCTCAACTCTGATGCGCGGCCGCAGGAGCGAAGGAGCTGATGTTGTCTGGTCCTGGTGCCTTCCTGGTCTTTATCCTTCTCATGTCTGACCTCACATGAGCAGCAGTGAATGACAGGGGTGCAGGAGGTCTGGGTACTGGGTAGAGGGGAGGGGGCTCAGTGGTAAGTGTTTCTGGGAGGGCTGGTGGGGCCGTGGGAGGAGGTCTGTGGTGCCATGACAGAGGTGTGAATGATCGTAGGTGTTGCCTTTGGTTCTGCTGCCGGAGTGAGGGGAAGCATCTGCGCAGGGGGAGGGGAAGGATGGTGGTCGAAGCGAGCAAAGAATGCATTCAGTTAGTTTGCCCACAGCTGGTTGTTTTGAAGCCTCTCCACACACCCTGAACATTCCGCTGGGCCAGTTTCACCTCAGCTTCCTTTGCGCGGATTTAAGGGCTTCCTTGTCTCCTGAATTAAAAGCACACTTTTTTTCCTTAAGCAGAGCTTTGATGTCAGGGTTGATCAACGGCTTATTGTTTGGGAAACAGTGCAGACTGGTACGGTGTAAACTTTAAACGAGACTTTTTATGGATATCTGAGAAATGGCTTTCTTCTTGCCACTCTTCCATAAAGGCCAGATTTGTGCAGTGCGCGACTTGTTGTCCTATGGACAGACTCTCCCACCTCAGCTGTAGTTATCTGCAGTTAATCTAGAGTGATCATGGGCCTCTTGGCTGCATCTCTGATCAGTCTTCTTGTTTGAGATGAAAGTTTGGAGGGACGGCCGGGTCTTTGTAGATTTGCAGTGGTCTGATACTCCTTCCATTTCAATACAATTGCTTGCACAGTGCTCCTTTAGATGTTTAAAGCTTGGGAAATCTTTTTGTATCTAAATCCGGCTTTAAACTTCTCCACAACAGTATCTCGGACCTGCCTGGTGTGTTCCTTTGTCTTCATGGTTCTCTCAGCGCTTTAAACAGAACCCTGAGACTATCAAAGAGCAGGTGCATTTATACGGAGACTTGATTACACACAGGTGCATTCTATTTATCATCAGTCATTTAGGACAACATTGGATCATTCAAAAGATCCTCACTGAACTTCTGGAGTGAGTTTGCTGCACTGAAAGTAAAGGGGCCGAATAATATTGCACGCCCCACTTTTCAGTTTTTTATTTGTTAAAAAAGTTTAAATTATCCAATAAATTTTGTTCCACTTCACGATTGTGTCCCACTTGTTGATTCATGACAAAAAATTAATTTTATATCTTTATGTTTGAAGCCTGAAATGTGGCGAAATGTTGAAAGGTTCAAGGGTGCCGAATACTTTCGCAAGGCACTGTAGAGGAGTCTGGCAATGACTACACACTTGGGGTAGGTCATTGATAAAGATAGAAAATAAAAGAGGTAAATGTGCACTTTATTGTCCCCGTAAGGAAATTTGTCCTCTGCATATGACCCATCCTGATGCCACTAAGGCTTACGTCAGGAGCAGTGGTCGCCATAGTAACAATGCCCGGGAACCAATCTCCAGATGTTAATGCTTGGCTAGGTCAGGACTACCGGAGCGGGAGGATTTTACCTGGTGAGCATATTTTTAGTGGTAGGGGAAACCGGAGCACCCGGAGGAAACCTACGCAGACACTGGGAGAACATGCAAACTCCACTCAGAAAGGCCCTGTTCCGACCGGGATTCAAACCCAGGACCTTCTTGCTGAGAGGCGAGAGTGCTATCCACTCAGCCACCGTGCAGCCCCAAGGGTTGAGTCCTGTGGTACCCCTTTTTCCATGATAGAGAGACCAGTTTGAGAACCATTAAGAACTACAAACTGTCTATTGTGATAAGCATTGAACCATAAAAGATCATGTCTACTGAAACCTATTGAGTAAAGTTTGTCCAAAAGTAAATAGTGGTCTACTAGATCAAACGCTTTGGAGAGATCCAGAAAAATGCCACCTGTGTACTGGTTATTATCAAAGGAAGAAGGAAGGGACAACATGTTGGGGCGGATGCTTCCATCTCCCTGGCTAAAGTCACAAAGATGGTTTTCGTCCCGACCGCAGAACATAGGACCAGCTCTATACTCTCCATCGGATACTGGTCTTCTGAAGTGTTGCTTTAGCAGTGTGTTTGGGTTCATTGTCCTGCTGGAAGTTTAATCTCCGTCCTAGCCTCAAATCACGCACAGAGTAGTACAGGTTTTGCTCAAGAATATACCTGTATTTACCACCTTCCATCTTTCCCTCAACTCCGACCAGTTTCCCAGTCCCAGCTGCTGAAAAGCATCCCCCCACAGCATGATTCTGCCACCACCATGTTTCACTGTGGGGATGGTGTTCTTTGGCTGATGTGTTGGGTTTGTGCCAGACATAGCGTTTTGCTTGATGGCCGAAAAGTTCAATTTTAGTCTCATCAGACCAGAGCACCTTCCTCCATACATTTTGGGGTCTCCCACTTGCCTTTTCGCAAACTCAAAACATGCCATTTTGTTTTTTGCTGAAAGTAATGGCTTTCTTTTGGCCACTCTGCCATAAAACCCAAATCTATGGAGCGTCAGGCTTATTGTCATCCTATGTACAGATACTCCGGTCTCTGCTGTGGAACTCTGCAGCTCCTCCAGGGTTACCTTAGGTCTCTGTGCTGCCTCTCTGATTAATGCCCTACTTGCCTGGTCCGTGAGTTTTGGTGGGCGGCCGTCTCTTGGCAGGTTTGCTGTTGTGCCATGTTCTTTCCATTTGGTTATGATAGATTTGATGGTGCTCCTGGGGATCATCAAAGATTTGGATATTTTTATATAACCTAACCCTGACTTGTACTTCTCAACAACACTGTCCCTAACTTGTTTGGAGAGTTCCTTGGTCTTCATGGCAGTGTTTGGTTAGTGGTGCCTCTTGCTTAGGTGTTGCAGCCTCTGAGGCCTTTCAAAAAAGGTGTGTAGATGTACTGACAGATCATGTGACACTTAGATTGCACACAGGTGGACATCAAATCAGTAATTATGTGACTTCTGAAGGTAATTGGTTGCACCAGAGCACATGCCAATTTCCAGTTTTTTAATTCTGAAAAATAGTTTTATGTATATATTTTTCTCAATTCACTTCACCAACTTAGACTGTTTTCTGATCCATCACATGAAATTCAAATTTAAAAAACATTGAACTAAAGGCTGTAATGTAACAAAATAGGTAAAAAGCCAAAAGTCCCAAATACATTAAGGACTTCAGAATGGTTCACCCCAAAGATAAAACCTTACAGTAATATCACAAAATCATGTATTCCATAAGTTTGCAATCTCAGTGCAATTTAGACAAGTCCAATGGATTCATAGACCCAGAAAACATGGGGTTAGACACCAAGATTACTTGGCTAGGTCAAATAATGAACGAGACAGAATATTTTTAGGGCTTCCTGCCCATCTTGGACGCCATCTTGAAAATTTCACCTTTCTAGTGGTCAAACTTTGGTAAACTTTTAGTGTGTTATTAAGGACTCCTGATACTACAAAAAACATCCGAGAAACCTTTTGTTAGAATTTTTTTAGGGTTAGGGTTTTTTTTTCCATATATGCAGCCGCCTAGTGCATAGCTGAAAAGAACTGTTTGGCGAGTGCTCAGCAGCGGCCCCTTGTGCCAATGGGCTTGCAGAGCCAGACGCATTCCTCTATCTGCCAAGAAAGAAATTAACACCAACAGGAAAAGACGTCAGGTATGAGTGTGAAATTCAGCTTGGGAAATAAAATATTTAGGGTATTTTTTAAATCATTGTGGCGGGTCGATTTGACCCAAGGATAACACAAGGGTTAAAGAACTAAACAGGAGCACTTCAGTTTGAATGACTTCTGCTGTAGTACATAGGCCTGTCACAATAAAAAAAAAAAAAGTTGGACGATAATATTGTCGTTCTGAGATCATTTTCATCTAATACAATGATAATGATGCAGTTACACCTTTTCAAAGATAAATACACTTTTATTTTTAAAGAATACATAACATACACAATTTATATTTATGTGTTTTAACTATTGATTTTCTGATCTGTGTCCTCTGAGATGACTTCTTTTGTGATTTAGGGCTATACAAGAATGAATTGTATTGTATTGTGTATTGTTTTATTAACACTAGAACACAATGAATGAACAAACAAAAACAATAAATAAATAAAATAGACTAACAACAAAATTAACTGGAATAAAACTGCCAGGACCTTTGTAAACAAAGTTATGAAAACAGTTGCCTCAATAGGCCATATGCAAAAATTGTTTTAGAAATAATTTAAGCCAGTAGTCCCGCCTCCCTGCACACCATGCGACTGACAAGTGACTGCAGTCTGAACGATGAGTGAACCCTCATGTCAGACGCTGGAACGCAGCTTCCGTGCGCACTAGACGCACATTCACTAAATTTAGGAGGCTAAGGGTCTTCAGACCAGAAGTCCTGGCCTGCGGTGGCGCCCGCCAGAAGACGCGAAAGTAGCAGACAGGCTTCGATGCTAACGGAGTTAATCTAGCGGCTTTTTTTTTCCAAAGTTCTTCTCCAAGAATGCAGCTCTGTAGGGTCTCTGTCCAGAGACCTTCCAGAGACTTTATATAACGTCAGTGTGTGTTCGAGGTGCGGCATAAGTTTATTTTATTATTAAACAGTACTTTGGCATCAGCAAACACGGTAGCTGCGCTAGTTTAGTCAGGTTCAGCTCCTGGTTCAGCTCCTGGTTCAGCTCCTGGTTCAGCTCCTGGTTCAGCTCCTGGTTCAGCTCCTGGTTCAGCTCCTGGTTCAGCTCCTGGTTCAGCTCCTGGTTCAGCTCCTGGTTCAGCTCCTGGTTCAGCTCCTGGTTCAGCTCCTGGTTCAGCTCCTGGTTCAGCTCCTGGTTCAGCTCCTGGTTCAGCTCCTGGTTCAGCTCCTGGTTCAGCTCCTGGTTCAGCTCTATTTTGTATTTGAGTATTTTCAGTCTGCTCGCTAGACCGCCAATGTCCCCGTGACCACTTTGCGGCTCTTTGACCCGAGAAAGACGAGGAACACAAACAAGCATGCAAATGGCATTTATCACGGCCAGAAAAATTATCGAGCTAATTCTAAATATCATGTGATTAATTGATTGAATATCGCGACAGTAGCACATGCACGCTGCAGCTGGCACTGTGGCCACCCTTCCCTTGTCCTTCAATGGAGACGCGGCCAGTAGGTTTGAGAGCTAAAGGTTCCATCCCTGGATGTGGTGTCCTTGTGATACTCACAGTCAGAGTTCTCTCCAGTTTGCCTGTGAGTGTGCTGAAGCAGTAAAGCACAAAGTCCTCTCCCACACAGTAGATCCACTCTCCTCTTGGTGACAGGGTGCAACACACAAAGTCTCCTCCTTCTCTTTTACCAGAACTGAAACTCCTGACAATCTGCAAAAACAAACCCATACAACAAATTAGGATTAGAATGCTAATCAAAATAAACAAAAAATATAAATTGAATGTCTCATGCTTGATCGAACAACCTCTTGCACTATAATTCACTCTAAACAAACCAAGCTTTTACTGTGGACAGGTGCAGATTTCTTATGGGTCAGCACTAGATCGTATACGGAATCGGGATGGATGCGGAAGTAAATATAACAAACTACCTAAATTTAACCAGCCACTCCCATAGAATCACCCAACCCACCCTTAATCCTAACCACCTGAAGGAGGTGCTCCTTTGCCCCTCTAGACTCCTACACCTCCACAGCCACAGTGAGCGGTACAAGAGCACGTTCATACCACACACCATACTGCTGTACAAGTCACCGCTCTGAGAGAGAACATCTGCTTCGTCATTGTATATAATGTATATTAACAGATGTGTACTCCTATTTTCTCTATTTTATACGGTAAATGTGTGCATATTCACAGATATGTATATTCCTGAGCACCTACATCCAGATTATTCTATTCTCACAAATATTATCTTATTCTTATTTTTAAATTGTTACTTTATTGTTATTTTATTTTTTTCATTTTATTTTTTTTTCATTGTGAAATATTATGCAAGCTACTGTGACAACGCAATTTCCCTTGTGGATCAGTAAAGTATGTCTGTCTAAGCTTAACATTGACCATTCTACTCAACAGACTAACATCCAACCCACCCTTAATCCTAGCCCTAACCGGACGCCTAAAACTTAACCAGTCACCACCCTAAAGATTTATTTTAGACTTCTTCATGTCACTATAATGATTTCTGCCGCACATAATGATGGACAGGGGGTGTTTTGAAGCCCGAGATGGTCTTCAGGTTCCTTTAGTGTCTGTCCTCTTTTCCTTCAGCAGGGCCTTAATCTCAGCGTGTTGTTGGAGAAACATCCATCATTTCACAACAGAAGTTGATGTAATCCGTTTATGCATTCCGTGATGGCATTGATGTTGTCCCCGTGGTCACACAGTTCATCCCACAATGTGCAGTTAAAACAGTCCCTCAGCCTGTCTTCACACACCACAGTCCACCTCTGGACCAGCTGGGGAATGGATGGTTGTGTACGATAGGAGTATACACAGGCCATAGGTGGGCAATGTTATGGTCAGAGCAGCCAAGGCGAGGTGTGGGGATGCAGTTGGGTTGTACGCCCCTGTGGCATTGGCAAATAAGAGATCCAAAGTTCTATTGTATATCTGAAGAATTAATTTGATCTAAGTTTTCACGTTTAAACTGGTGTACTTTGATGTGAAATTACAACAAGTGGATCAAGCAACTTGTGAACTTTTTGACAGAATATTAGTGAGTAGTTGCATCCGCAACATTGGCTTTACACTGTTAACCCGAAAGTTAATTGCACTCGAATGGTTTCAGCTCTAACCACTGATGGTAAATAATTTTCTCTGTAAAACTCAAATCATACAAGTGTGGCAGAGAACTCTTTGGTTGAAGTTGAATGGACTTAACATATATAGTGTTGCATGTGATGCACTAGAATGAATACATTTAACTTGGTCCAATCTATTTTAAGTTTATTCTAAAATATAGTTCGAGTACAAATGTGTGTAAGAGAATGAGTTTTAAGGTCAACACTCAAACAAGTAAATGAGATCACTACTACAACCTTTAAGTTGAAAGCACTTTCACTATCTTTAAGTTTACATAGCTCCTCCCATATTTGTTCCGGCTGCACTGGAACCAGGGACAGGTCTGGGCAGTCGTTTGTTTGAATGTTTCAAGAATAAGCAGTTATCGTTTTCCTCGGACTTGAACGTGTTTTTCCAGTCTGTAGTCGATGGAGCGCACTCTTCCTCAAGTCAAAGGTGAGTTAAATCTTTGTATTAAGTTTTTTTTTTTTTTTTATGTATTTTACATTATGCACTTGCACAAGCTAATGTAATCTCCTGAACATTGTTTTGAGTCTATTGTTTTTCTCCATTTTTAGACAAGGTTATTTTCTTGCACTTTTTATTATATACGGCCCCTCCTGCGTCCTGCAGCCCCTCCTGCGCCCCCGAGCACACAGCGTGGGTCGCCCGGAGCTGAGAGTCAACATCACCGCTGCTCCGCTCCATGTGTTCAGCGGCGCTCAGGTTCTGATCCTGCTTCGGATGAGCCCGTTAAATCCGTACACCGGGCGCCCTCTCCGCGTCCACTCTTCGCCCCGACCACTGATAGTTGGAGATTCCATCATGAGACACGTCCGCTTCTTTAACGCGGTCACTCGCTGTTTTCCCGGAGCAACTGTCCCGGACCTGCTCATCCGTCTCCCTCCTCTGCTTCACTCCCTGTCCGATACTATTTCAAAGGTAGTAGTGCATGTGGGGATCAACGACATGAAACTTCAGCAGTCAGAAGTAACAAAGAAGCACTTTATGGATCTGTTCCGCCTGCTCCAGTCCTCCGGGTTGTCTGTTTTTATCTCTGGCCCAATTCCGACTGTAAACCGGGGTGACTGCTTGTACAGCCGTGTTGTGGCGCTAAACATGTGGCTCCAGACTGCATGCAGAACTTTTAACTTTGTTTTTGTGAACAACTTTGGCCTGTTCTGGAAACGGCATGTGGCATATCGTCTAGATGGTCTCCACCCGAACAGATACGGCACCAGTTTGTTTATGGACTATTTACGCCATGTTATTCAGTGCTCCCCGAGGGGGGCGTGACTGTTTACATCGCAGCCCCCTCGGCCCCCACCCACCACCCTCCTCCTCCTCCTCCTCCTCCTCCTCCTCCTCCTCCTCCCACCAGCACGCACGGTGAGTACTGTGGTGCAAACACTGACCCCTCTCCGTCTGGCAGTGTAATGACAGTCCTGCCACTAAACTGTGATGAATCCTGCTCTGAGCAACAGAGCAATGCCATGCTGAATTTGGGACTGACACAGCAAAAGTTTTCACATTTTAAATCAATTGAAACTGTGTGCGTTTCTCGCACCAGTTCAAAAATATGTTTTAATTCTAAAAGACAAAATGATCACATCAGAAGGAAAGGAGCTAGGCGGTCCATCCCTGCAAATCTAATTCCTATTCCTTGCAGTAATCAATCAACCACACCCACTGATACTGATATTAATTTTAACCTTGCTTTGCTTAATGTCAGATCACTATGTAACAAATCATTTTTAATTAATAACTTTATCTGTTCTTATGATCTTGATTTTATGTTTATGACCGAAACATGGCTTGACCAAACTACAGGAAACACGGTTTTAATAGAAGCAACGCCACCAAATTTCAAATTTGAGTCTGAAATGCGAGAAAACAAAAGGGGGGGAGGCATAGCTGCAGTTTTTAGAAATCACATTGTCTCCCATAAAGTGCCCTTGGGAAAATTTTCATCATTTGAATATGTGTCTTTTAAAATTGAACAAAAGCAATCTTCTTCTATTCTTATCATTGTCCTATACAAGCCACCGCAGTCATGTCATACTTTTATTGATCATTTTACCGAGTTGCTTTCAGTTGTATGCACAGATTTTGATGGTTTAGTTATTACAGGCGATTTTAATATTCATGTGGATAATGTTAATGACAGATACGCAAAAGAGCTGAGTTCCATACTTGAATCCTTTGGCCTCACTCAGCATGTGAGTGGCCCCACCCATAGCAGAGGACACACCCTGGACCTGCTTATCACGAAAGGGGTGAATATTTCAAAAGTTAATGTAGTTGATGTTGCTCTGTCGGATCATTTCTGTGTATTTTTTAACATGTGTTTTGCTATCAGACCACCTGCTAAATATGAAATTGTTAGAAGTAGACACTTAAATGAAAACACGGGTGAACTATTTATGGGAATGATCCATTTTGAGAACACATCATGTTCTACTGTAGATGAACTGTTTAACTCTGTCACCTCTAGTGTGTTGAATGTTCTGGACGCCATTGCCCCTGTGAAGGTAAAAATGGTCACAAATAAGCAAAAAGCCCCATGGATAAAAGCAGGCCCGGTCAGGGCACAGAAGCAAGAGTGCCGGAGGGCAGAGAGAAAGTGGAGAAAGTCCAACCTCCAGGGTGATTATAAACTCTTAAAAGAGAAGTTGTGTGAGTTTAACAGAGTACTACGTAGAACAAGAGAATTATACTTTTCTGAAACTATTGAAGGCTGCAGCAACAATCTGCGTGTTCTATTTTCAACAATCAATAGATTAACGAACCCCCCTGTTGAGTTGCCATTAGAACACTACTCCAAATCCAGGTGTAATGAGTTTGCACAGTTCTTTAGAGACAAGGTTCAGGGTATCAGAAATGCCATCACCTCCACAACACAAGTAACAATGCAACATCCAGTGAGGCTTTGTGAGCTAGCTCAATTTGCACCTGTCAATAATGAAACTGTTAAAAAGATAATCACAGGTCTGAGTTCCTCTACCTGCAGTCTGGATGTACTACCTCCTAGATTTCTGAAGTCTGTTATGTGTAGTCTATTACCCTCATTGACACAAATAGTAAACATGTCTTTTTTATCTGGAACATTTCCAATGGCCCTGAAAAAGGCAGTCATGGCCCCTCCTAAAAAAGAGCAGTTTGGATGCTGCGGTACTTGAAAATTACCGTCCCATCTCAAATCTGCCTTTCATGGGAAAAATTCTTGAAAAAGTTGCCTACCAACAACTTACTGAATTTTTAATATCTAATGACTCATTTGACATGTTCCAGTCTGGCTTTAGACCACACCACAGTACTGAGACCGCTCTAGTCAAGGTAACAAATGATATTCGGCTTAACACTGATGCAGGAAAAGTCTCTGTTTTAGTCATGTTAGATCTGAGTGCCGCTTTCGACACCGTTGACCATGAGATTCTCATGCAGAGACTGGAGGACTGGGTTGGTGTTGCTGGTACCGCCCTAAGCTGGTTTAGGTCCTATCTAGAAGAAAGGAAGTATTGTGTGGAGATTGGAGACTATGTCTCAGATAATATGGCCCTGACCTGCGGAGTGCCACAGGGGTC